AAAAAAAAAAAAAAAAAAAAAAAAAGAAATATCCTCGACAAAACAGTAGAGACTACAACTGATCATACCTCTCCCTCCCGAATAAGCCTTTTTAATATTCGTGTGATCAAATAAACACGCATATGGTGTTTCCACTGCAATCCAAACCTTGCCGGCTGTCTCGAGCACATACATGCACTTGTGCGACAGCTGCACGGCAAGCTGAAGTGGGCATGTTTTCTATGCAGCACCACTTTGACTTGGAAACAACCCACAAACTACGGTTTTGTCAGATTGAGTACCTGGCAGATATTCTCGGAAGTGAGCCTGTTATTTCAAGGGAAATTACCAGGAGTATTGCAATGATAACATTTGAGCTCTCAAGAAAGAGTTAGGATCTTGGAAGATGTATCTTCTACCCAGGCTTGCAGCTTCACAGTACCTAGATTTTTCTGATGAGATTGATATTAACAAGTGATCTTTTCCTATGGTATAATGAGATGGGTCAATGTTTAGAAGAATTACATAAGTTGGTAAACCACTATCTTCCAATTGACTAATGCATGATGTGACAAAAACACAAGCATGGATGAGATCCACTCAAAGTGCAAAACAGACCAATGAATTTTAATTTCACAGTTTCAAGAACTCATCGATACAGTTGCAAGTTCTACCCAGCAACTAATCCTTATTTAGGAGACTTATTTGTTGTGTTTTGGTGTAGTATTAAAGAATGACAAGTATCTGAGAACGGTATCAAAATATTCCCCCCATTTCCAATCACATATGAGAGGCCAGATTTCTTCATATATATCAACCAAAACAACACACTGCGATGGGACTACATACAGAAGGAGAATCCAGCTGACTATTAAGCCACACCTGAGAGATTTGCACAAGTATAAACAATTCCATTTTCACTACATTTTGTTGTGGAAAGTATTTCTTTTTCATAAAAACATGTTCATATGTAATGAGCTTATTGTTATTTTTAAGTGAATAGTATTTTAAAGTTTTAGTTTTAATTTCTAATGCAGCAACTATGAAAAGACAAACAAAAACTCTTTGGGGGTGGGGTTGTCTTCAATTTTTAAGTGTAGAAGGATTCTGAAACAGTGGTTTGAGAACCATCATTCTACCCACTTGGCTAATGTCCAGCTCAAGCCTGGAATGATCACCTATGCACACATTACCATCTCTGCCTCCCACTTACAGCTGAGTCAGACACCCCATTTGGCCCTGTGTATCAGTACTACCTTTCTTCCTTGATATTAGAACCTTCTCTTTGTAGCTGCATATAGGGTCAGGCAGAACCAAGACTTCACTTTCCCAGCCTTCATTTCCACAGCTAGGAGTAGCCACGTGACTAAGTTCTGACCAAATGGGCACAGACCCAAGTGATGGTGTAACTTCTAGGATTTGTCTTCAAGGTGGCAAAAAGCCATCTTGGACCATGCCCATGAGAGCTGCACCCTGGAATGGCAAAGCGACGAAACGAGAGCATGGGTGCCTGAAACCATGGGTCCAAGCTGCCATATCAGCCTGGTTCACTTACATCTGGACTGTCACGGGACAGAAATACTTTGGTGTTAAGCCACCACTAGTTGGTTATTCCACCAGTCACAAGGGATGCTACTTCTGAGTCATGCCCTGAGGGAGGGATGCCTTGAGCTCCCCAAGCTCCTCTCCTACTTTCCACTGCTTAAAGAGACTGGGAGAAGTAGAACAGGTGCCTCGGACCCAGAGACGAAGCCACATGTTGATGGCAGAGCTGTGGCATTCTACCAGCTGTGGACTATTTGCTTCTCACATCGTATTTGAGCAATAAACCTGATTATGTTTAATACACCTCAATTTGGTTTCTGTAAGAACATACAAACCAAAATCCTAGCTCATACAGGCAAGTACTTGGTTTGTACTGTACACTAAGGGTTGGCAAAGTTGTTTGTTATCTTAGGCTTTGTGCACCTTACAGTCTCTGTAGCAGCTACTCAACTCTCCCACTGTGGGGCCAAATCAGCCATAGACAATAGCTAAACAGGCATGGGAGCAGGCAGGAGCTGGCCCGTGGAAGGTAGTCTGCAGACCCCTGCTACAGATCATGGCATGCCTTTGCTTCACACCTTTAAGAAGCAATGCTGTTGCTCTTCTCTAAGCTTACCATGGCCACATGCCTCTGTGCTGCCCTTCCTGTCGACCTCTCCATCTTTGTCTCATTCCCATTTTGCCCCCTCTCCCAAGCCTACCCCACTAGACTAGGTTCCATGAGGCAGAGAACATTCATTCTCTGTCCTCTTCACCATTACACATCCAGCACCCAATTCCTATCCATTTCTTTTTTTTTTTTCTTACTAAACTGTTGAATGAATGCATGGATACCTACCTGTGTGGATTCTTAGATGGCGGCCCAAATCTTTCATGCCATGAACAGTTTTGAAGTGGCAACCTAGAAGAGAAGAAAGAAAAATCATGCTTTTCTTAAAGTATAACCTCAAAATGGACACTACTATGAACCTGATGTCCTGATGAGGCACACTCTGAGCTCTAGGTGCAATAGGACTCTGGGACCCACAGGGAGGTGGTGGGTGCAGATGCCCATGTGTTGTGACGATACACGAGCCGTGCAGGCACCCAATGAGTGAATTCCCGCAGAGCCTGCACAGCAGCGCTCAGCACAGAAGAGGCTCTGTGTGCTAGGATCACTCCTTACCTGGGTAGCAACAGTTGAATGTCCTCTCTCCAAGAGTAGCCGTTTGTTCCCTTGACTCTGAGGGAGCAGCAACGACAGGGCCCTTCTGGATGTCACTGCTTTCAGTGGAAAGGCAAGCTGGTTTTGGAACATCACTATCTAGTTCTGAAGCTGAAATTGAGGAATAAAGTTTTACTTAATTTCTCCAATACAGTCTTTGTGGTAAGTCTTAGAATATAGCAGGTTTAGGCTCTTTTTCACCTGCCTTCACCTCCCCCCCAGCCCCTCCCCCAAAGAAAGGCATATTCATTGTAATTAGCCTGGCAAAAGTCCTCTTCTAATTATCAGTTTCCAGAAAATACAGGGGACAGAGGGAAACAGCAACATCACAGAGACGTAACTGGCAAAATCCAGATGGAAACTTTCCATTTGAGCGTGTCTCAAATGATGTGAAGCACTAGTTCCCACCTCCCCCGCCAAACAATTTCTGATTCATCATGGCTAATAATTTTGTAAGATAGAATAAACATGAATTATGAGAAAAGCAAAATAAGACAAAAATAAAAGCCCACATGTTATGATTAGATATAACAGAAAGCTGGATGCCATGGCAGTATCAAACTGCCTTTAAAAAAAAAAGAAAAGCTTTCTCTCAATTTCTGACTTGTTTTGCTCCAGTTCAGCAACAGGTCGTAGACCACACTTCAAGCATCACTGCTCTCCAGAATAAAACAGTTGTTTCAACAAAAAACTTGAAAGGTGGAGGAGGGGAAAAACCAGAGACTGAAGACTTGAGACAATGATCTGTAATACCCAGACCTCATTCGATTCCTGATTTGAACACATTGTAAAAATCATTTGAGACAGTGAGAAGTGTGCTCACTCACTGAACGTTTAATATAATGGTTTTATATTTTATAGGTATGAAAATCAAATTCGATTTTTTTTTTTTTAAACCAAAGCATTCTCATGGTTTAGGGATGCATGTTGAAGTATTTATAAGATGTGTGATTTGTATGTTTTGCTTCAAAATAATCCAGGGCAGGGGAATAGTTAGTGTACAGAAGAAACAAGCTTGGTCACTTGCAGTTAATTGTTGCAGCTGAGCAATGCGGATGTGGGAGTTCACTGTATCATTTTTTCTGCTTTTAGTAAAAGAGAACCATGTGAAACCACCATTTTTGTTGGCCAAAATGGTTGAATAATTTCATATGGTTCACTCTAATTTGTAGTTTTAATAACTTCTATGACACTACATACTCCTAAAAGATTCTAAGGTGATTTATCTCCAAATAGACTTAAATCTAAGAAAAAAGTGCTTTCAATGTCTGAGATCTTAAACAACAACAAAAACAGATATTGACTAGCTTATGAATTATAGGCCAAGGTCTGGGACTTTTTGTCTCAGATTATAATAAAAGATGAATTCCATCTTCACTGAGAGATTTCTTGGGGTAGAGGAGTCTTACCAGGAGAAGCTTATAGAGCACACTGGTGAGGCATCAGCCCTACACAGAGGGTTCACTCAGCTACATGCTAGCTGTGTGATTGGCTACTGGAAAGTTACTTAACCTTTCTGATCCTTGGTTTACTCATCTATAAAAGGGAATGAACTATGTGCCTCGTAGCTGTAGAGTTAAATGCAACCAAGTATAAGTTCTTAGTACAGTGCCTAGCCCATGTTGTGTACATGCTCCCAGTTACGTAGACCAGATGTAGCATCTGAGCAGCTGTGGTGCACAAAGTTCCTTAACAAGGGCCCTAACAAGTGATCTCATCCACTGGCTCTCAACTGGGGTCCATTTTGCCCCCAGGGGATGTTTGGCAATGCCCAGGACATCTGATTGTCATGATCCTGTGTGCATGCATGTGCTTGATAATGGCATCTATTGGGTAGAGGCCAGGGATGCTGTTAAATATCCTACAATGTGTAGGGCAGCCGCCATCAAAAAGTATATGGTTCCAAGTGTCAACAGTGCTGAGGCTGAGAAGACCTGCACTAGTCCTATTTCAGTTTTTGGATTTTTTTTTGTTTTAGTCTCCCCTTGAATGTCCTGACAATACCTGTATCAGAATCACCTAAATCACGGGTAAGTGTAGTTTCCCAGGCCTTACCCCAGACTCACCTAACAGCTGGGGGTGGAGTGGGGGAGAGCTAAAGGTAGATACCAGGAACCTGCATTGTTAAAGCACGCCCCAGTGATTATGTCAGACTACTCTAAGCCCTGGCAACTCGAAGGGTAGTCCCCAGAGCACCAGCATCCCTGGGAGCCTGTTAGAAAAACAGAGTCTCAAGCCCCACCCCAGACTTACAGAATCAATCTGCACTTTCACAAGACCCTGGTGACTCCTGTGCACATTAAGATTTGAGAAGCTCGACTCACAGCCAGTGGTTCTCAAACATGGGTGTACATCAGAATCACTCAGAGGCTTGTTAGAACACAGGAGGCTCGGGCCCCACCTCTAGAGTTCCTGATTCAGTAGGTGTGGGGTAGAGCCGGTAAATTTTCACCTCTAACAAGTTTCCAGTTAATGCTGCTGCTGGTCTGGAATCACTCTTTGAGAACTTGTGCTCGGTAAGAAAGGAAGAAATTGGCTCGGGAGAGGTGCTCAAGGTTACAGGGCTGGAGGCTTTCAGCTGACTAGATCCTATAGTAGCCAGATCTGCAGCCAATCCCTGTGCCCCTCCAGGGAAGACACAAAACCTTGTACTACTTAGCAATTTACATATTAAAAAAGAAAACCATTAAATTCTTGAGGGCTTTTAATTGCACAGAAGCCAAGTAAGGCTGAGAACTGAAATCTGAAAGGGGTGTTGTTCTCTAAACACAGTGGTTTAGGGAACTGACTGGGAAGCAGCTGGTACATTTCAAATTCCAGTTCTATCACATGTTAGCTGTGTGTCCTTGGGTAAGTTACTCAACTTCCCTGTTCCACAATTTCAACATCTGTAAAGTGGGGATTATGGCCCCTATTCCATAGGCTTAGACGAAGATCAAATTCTTTAGTATATGTAAAAGAACCCTGTGCATATGTCAGCACTGTATAAATATTATCAGTTTCATTCATTGATGTGTATACATAAGAACTCCCAGATTTTCAAAGGGAGGGAAATGCATATTTTCAATGCAAACTCGAAAACAGGCAAAAGGGAGGCTGCTGGGTTCGAACTATCGGAGAGCTGTATCTAACATGGAGGATCCCCCAAGTAGAGCCTCTTATGTGGAGGTGTAGGGGCCCCTCAAACACCATGCTTCCACTTGTATCCAAGGAATGTTCAAAGCCTACCTTTCCTGAGGAAGGTACAGTTGGAGAGGCCCTTTGAGTCTGACGTGGATGTGGGCCACATTTGACAGACACAGTGAGCCTTTTAACTCCTTGAGAAACCACCAGTGTAAGGTGTATTCTTGCCCATTATTTTACTTTACTGGTGGGGATGGGAAGTCTTCCACCTCACCCTTCCATTTATTTTCTTCCCAAAACTACTTGAGTTGCAAATCCACTTGCAAATGAAGTGGCCGAACCTTAAAATAGCAAGGTGGGTCCCCTTGTGCAGTGTCACATGCAAATCCACTTGCAAATGAAGTGGCCGAACCTTAAAATAGCAAGGTGGGTCCCCTTGTGCGGTGTCACGAACCTAAGATGTAAGGATAAAACATCAGTTGTAAGACCGCTTTTCTCCCCAAACAGTGGCTGGTGTGCGGCACGGTACTGAGCAGGCACGGGTTATCCTGCTCCCACGGTGGCGGGGAGAGGGGGAGACCTCCAGTATCCAGAACACACAGCACCCTCCCCATACCCCAACCCCGGGCGCAGCTGCAGGAGGCACCTCCCAGCGCTGTTTGCAGGAGTAAGTAGCTCAGCGTATCGACTTTGAACTCCAGACCAGGGTTATTCAGCAATTCTCTTCTATAAAGGCTTCCCCCAAAGATCCAACATCCCCAGTACCTCCCAACTCCTCCTTTAGGCATAGAATCAGCAGGCGCCCTGCCCCCACCCGACTCCAGGAGGGCCCGACAGTGCCAGTCTAGCTATCCCCATTGTAGGCCTTCCTTGGGCAGACTGCGGCCACGGTGCTATTAATCTAGGAGAGCCTTCATTCAACTACTCCGCTCCGCCACCTCCTCCGGGAAGGTGTGGTCAGAGCCCATCCAAATGACTTTTCTGGAAGATGGTGCCGAAGAAAACAGAGCCCGCGCCTCTGGAGGTGTGAGCCTCCTCTGAGAGAGACCCGACATCCCCCTCTCCCTTTCTGCACCAGGAAAATGAGAAGCAAAGTGGAGAAGTCCAGTTAAAACTCCTCTCCCAACCCCCTCGCTTAAGAAAGAGCTATCAGCTCACCACGGGGGGTGGTAGAGAGAAGAGAAAGTAGGAACCCACATTGTCTTAACCTGAGCGCCGTATCTTCAGAACAGGAAGAGCCTTAGAAATGCAGATTCCCCACCCCCTGAGATTCCGACGGAGGGGCGTGTGCCTGAGGGCAGACGCAGGAATGTGGCGAGGTAGACAAGCCCCCCTCCCGCGGGCTCTGCTGAAGGGGAGGCGCCCAGGACCACAGGAGACATGCCGCCTGGGGGGCTTAGGTGCGTCCTGCTCCTCTTTAGCCAGGGTTCACGTGACAGTCGGGGTGAGCGTAGGTACGACCTTGTCACTGCTCAGTTTCCCCTCCCCGCCCCCCCCGGCTCCCATGTCAATCAGAGTAAAAGGCAGAGTCCTTATTGGGGCCCCCGGGATCCGCCCCCCCACCACCTGTCGGATCTCCCCCG